TGTGTGTGTGTGTGTAGAGAAAGACAGTGCTAATGATACATTCCAGATATAAATTTGTGTAACTGCAGTAATCATTTTTGTGCTCCTTTCTTCCACTTAGGTTCCTAATATTCTAAATTTCAAGAATATACTTTAGACTTTTCAGCTGAAAAACAAACAGTTCCTTTTTGTTTGTCTGCTTTACTTAACTCATTGCTTCTACTTTGGGAGGTCAGTCACTCTTTTATTCAAATACTAAGGGTTCCCAGTACTGAGAGTTACCTCAAATTTAATGGTAGGATTGAAAGTGACCATGAAAATATTCTTTTGGTCTTTTCTTGCTCTTTGTATAAGGATCTAGGGACTGTCGTAATTAGTACTATTCTCTGCTTAGAATTTCCTTTTCCCCTCCTCTATCTGATGATTTCCCACCTGCTATCCTGGCATAGCTCAAAGTGTCATTCCCCACAAGGCAGAATTATTTCCTTCCATTTACTTACCATTCCTTCTGCCTGGACTCAAATCCTGATTTCACTGCCTGCTACAATATAACCTTGAGCGCATTAATAATCTCTCTAAGCTTTAGTTTCTTCGTCAGCAAAACTGGGATAATGGTAAATCCCTTTTAGGATTATAGTGAAGATTGGAGGACATAATAATTATAAAGTACTTAGGACAACAATGTTTAGCACTTAGCAAGTGCTTGGTAATTCATATTACTCCACACTACTTACTATGTTGACAGTTGTCTCTTTCCTTCATCTTTTCAATGTACTAGGCACTGTTTTATGTACTGGAGGTAAAAGAAATAAAAGACACTGACTTTGTCTCTGCAGGGCTTCAGGTAAAGTGAAAAGATAGATAACTCAATAATTACAACCATATGATAATTGGTATTAAAAAGGTAAATTTAGGGTGTAGTGGGTGCACTTAACTCAGACTGGAATTGAAGTTTCCTTGCAGGAGGTGACATCAGCATTCATCTATCTTCATGGTCTTAACATCCACTTATTGGTGCCAATCCCCAAATTGTAAATCTATATTCTAGACTTCAGCACATAAGAATTACCTGTCTTCTTACTAGATTGTTCTGCTTGTATGTCTTTCAGAATTCATTAATGCAAAATGTCCCCAAACTGAAATAATCATCTTTTAAGACCTAAATATTTCTTAAACCTGCTCCTCTTTTCATTTATGTGACTTAGCTCTTGTTTCAGGTCCCCATCATAACTCTGCTTAGACTACTGCTCTGAAACCTGCTCTTCACATAGCCACTAGGTTTTCTCTAAATGTAAATGTGGTCCTGTTCCCTATATATAAGATCTCCATGATCTAACTCTTGCGTACCTCTCCCATCTGGACTTTCCTCTACCATCTGAACTCTGCTCTTTCTTGTTCTGCATTCTCACCACAGAAAGATCTTTTTGTCTATCCCGTCCTCATGCCATACACACTTAAGCACACCACCTTGCTGTTACCTTTTTTTTTCTTTTCACACGTGCTAGAATAAGATCCCAATATCTTATCACCTCCCTTTTACCTGGCTATCTCTTACTCATCCTTTAAGACTTTGTTCTGTATTTTTTCTAGGAAGCCTTTCTTGAACTGTGTCTCTAATCATCCTTACAGAATTATGTGTCTTTGTACTTTTATTATACTCTGTTCATAATCACTGTTATTGTACTTAGCCACATGTTTTCATTTCTAGTGTGATTCTCTTGCAAGATTTTAATTCCTTGGTGCTAGTAGCTGCCTTGTACTCTCTTGTAAACACAGGCTAGGATCATAACAGACCCTGAGTAAATATTTGATGGGTAGGTGGATGATGAATATGTTAATTTAGGCAGGCAGAGGTTATTAGCATTTGCCAGAGAGAAGGATCATATAGGTGCAAGGCGCAGAGGAGTTAAAAATTACTTAGTTTAAGAGTTTATAATAAATTGAAGCGTGAGATGTGAAGTTGGGAGTGTCAAGAAATGAGCCTCAACTGGTAGATAGGGCCCATAGTGAAAGGTTTTCTTACACCTTGCTAAGGAATTTAGTTTTTATCCTGAAGGCGCCTTAGAGCCATTAAAGGATTTAAAATTGGAGAGTGACAGGTAGATTTACATTAACCCATTAATTCTAAGATGCCTGTGTTTCTTGCATTTTAACATCTCTGAAATTGCATTGCATTTTACAACTGATTGTGTCTTAACAGTTCTCATAGGCAACACTTCTTTCTAGTGCTGTTCAAGATAATGGTGTATATTACAATTGATGGCGTATTAAATTCAAAGACACACAGCGTGTTTTAGAAAGGTATTCTGGCACAGTGTACAGAATGCTTTAAAAGCAAGGTAATACTGCAAGAAGAGAGAATAGAGATAAACTGAACATAATCCAGAAGAGGAATTTGAGGCAACAGTAGTGAAGATGCATTCATTTAGTCATTTAGAAATTAAGTGCTTTCTATGTGCTAAGCATAGGGATACATACAAGAATCACAAAACAAGTAAGGTTTGCAGATACAGTTACAGATTATAGTAAGTGGTTTAAGTCAAAGTGGATCATAGACTTCAGTGTAAGGGCTTAAACCAGAAAACTTCTAAAAGAAAGTACAAATACAATAAAAGAAAATACAAAATACAAATGTCAAAAAACTTTAACTAGAATATATAAAATACACTTACAACTCAGTTATTAAGAAGACAGACTATTTTAAAAATAGGCAAAAGATTTGAATAGACACTTCACCAAAAAAGATATATATGGATGTCAAGTAAGTACATGAAAAGATATTTAACACATTTAGAATTAAGGTAATGCAAATTAAAACCACAATGAGATACCACTATGTGCTCACCAGGATGGCTAAAATTTAAGTTTGGTCATTCCAAGTATTTGCAGGGATGTGGAGCCACGCAAACTCTGTGTAAATGTTAGGAATTTAAATGGTATAACCACTTTGGAAAACAACTTAGCACTTTCTGAAAACGTTAAGTATTCACCTACCACCCAATCTAGGTATTTACCTTTGAAAAATGAAAGCATATGTTCACTCAAAGACTTGTATACTTAGGTTCATCATAGTTTTATTTATAACAGAAAACTGGAAACAACCTAGATGTCAACAGGTAAACAAGTAAATGAATTAAAACATTGTGGTATATCCATATAATGGAATAGTATTGGGTTACAAAAAAGAATAATCTGTTGATACACTTACCAACTCAGATGAATCTCAAAATAATTATGCTGAATTTTGAAAGGCAAGAAAAAGGTATATACTCTATAATTCCACTTTTATAAAATTCTAGAATATGCAAACTAATCTATAGTGCTAGGAAGTAGATGAGTGATTGCCCAGAGAGTGAAAGAGGGAGAAATGGATTATGAGGGACACAAGGAAACTTTAGAGAATGATGGCCATATTTACTATCTTGACTGTGGTGATTGTTTCACACGTATTATATATGTGTCAAAACTTACATGTATGTCATGTAAGTATGTCAGAATACATATGTATGTCATATATATATGTCAGAAAAAGTAAATTGTACACTTTATGTGCAACTTATTGTGTGTTTTATCTCAGCAAAACTGGGGAAAATTTTTTTTAAAGAATTATAGAAGCAACAGAGGACTTAGATAACAGTGATGTGTTGATTTCTTTTTTTGACATATTTTATAGTGGTAAAATATACATAATGTAAAATTTACTACTTTAACCATTTTTAGGTGTACAGTTCAGTGGCATTAAATACATTCACATTGTTATGCAACCATCACTACCATCCATTTCTAGAACTCTTTCGTATTCCCAAACTGAAACTCTATCCATTTGTTCCTCCCCTCTTCACCCAGCCACTAATTGTGAGTATTTTACCACAATAAAAAGAAAAAGTTGTCAGTATAACAAGAAGTCACCTGTTTGGTAGAGTACTACTAGATCTGATGACCAGTGACATTAGCATAATGTGGGGGTTATTGTACTATATTATATGTGAAAAATTTTCTAGGAAGTTTGAAAAATAAATATAGTAGGTCTCTTCCTTCCTCTCTTCTGATTCGTTCTGTCTGAGGCAGGGTCTAGGAATCTCTGTATTAAGGAAACACTTTATGGCACAAGTGGCCCCAAGAGCTATTGCTGTCAAAACATGTAGTGTTCTACCATCATGTTTGTAACATTCTAGGGTGCCAGCTATTTAGGCTTTATGTATAAAAGTTTTTGCTCTCTGTGCTTTTATGAAGAGAACAAAGAAACATGAGATTGGCCAAATATAAAAGTTAGATTTTCTTGTGTGTATGTGAGAAGACTTGAGTCCAAAAATTAAAAACTATTCTCTATTCCCAGATTTTTAAATAAACTTGCCCCTTAGTAGATATGGCTGTTTGATCTTGTGATCTGAGTCTTCCTGACCATACCAGCATACTGTCACACATTTATTTCAGTCCTCCTACTGTATACATTAAGATAACAGAGGTTACTGTATATACTTATGCTTTATTTATAGGGAACAACATTCTAAGATTCAGCTTTTATGATTTCTAGAATTTTTAATTTCAACAGAACCTGAGCTATTTCTGAAAATTGACATGTGAGGATTTGTGGTTTTCTTGAAGCACAACTTTGAAACATGTATTTTAAAGCTACTGTATATGAAGAGCAAACCATTTAGCTAGAGAATGAGTCTAGCTGCAATTTAGCAACTTAGCATGGCTTTTCTATAGGTCTATTTTGATGAGATTAAATCTTCAGACAATAATATTGTATGCTGCATACAGGGGGAACAATCTGCTTACTAGTGTTTTTTGTGGGAGGGGAAGGTTATTAGGTTTATTCATTTATTTGTGTTTAGACAGAGTACTAGGGATTTAACCCAGGACCTCATGCATGCTAAGCATGTGCTCTACCACTTGAGCTATACCATCCCCCCTGCTTACTAGTTTTAAACACAAATAGACTTAAATTTTTAAGCTCCAATCTTTGAGAAATATTTGAAATATAATGTAAAAAGTTTTTTCTTAACCATCTCTAGGCCAGCCAGGCCTTCGAGAAGCTATTTCCATGTCCTGTATAACGAATGGGAGTGGTGCAAGCAGAAAACCAAGTCACACCAGCTCTGTCTCAATTGCAAGAAAAGAAACTCTTTCATCTGCTGCTAAAAGGTACCATTTATTAAAAAAGCTAACATTGCAGAATTTTTTTAATGTGATAACTCAGTCTACTTTTGAAAAGAATATGAAATAGAGCTGTATGGAATTCAAGTGAGCATGTCCTTTGAATTCTTTGCCTCTGTAGAGATATCCAGCCTGTACTTGCCAAGTTTATATTCATCACACCTGCGGAGTTGTGTGAGGAAGCTTTTGGTTCTTACTAAAGAAAGCAGGCAGTTTTATTTCCTGGTTTTGTTTTGTTTCTTTTTAATTATTTCTTTTTAATCATTTGTTGATGATATAAGCATCACTATATTTAATGGAATTACATAAGTGAATTTTCCATAGTAAGTGATACATTTGATAACAACATTTTTAAAGGAGAAATAGAATCCTTGATATAAATCTATATTAGTGGGGGATTAAACACTATTATAACGTTTATTCTTTAACCATGACTATAAAATTGAGGCTTAATTTAAAATATTACAGTACTGTGCTATGTTGTGTATCTGTAAGAGGATGGTGGGCAGGAGGGCAGTGGAAATACTGTAATATAAAACTTTCAGTGGATTACACATTTAAATTCTATATGTTCTTTTCATCAATTAATTAATTTAATCTATTTCAGTAAAATCGCATACAAGATTTTTCTGCCGTCGTGTAATTCCTAGCAAACTGTTCCATATAGGGTTTGAAGAAACCATAAGAGATCAACTACGTAATCTTACAACTGTTTTCTTCAAAGAACAAAGAAGACTTTAAGTACTAGAATAATATTTAAAATGTGCTGATAGAAAGTGGTTGCCTCAATAAACCAATGCCCGTGACTAAATTATTCATCAGTGTGTGTTTACAGATATTAACCAGACATTTGACTACAGGAATGGTGAAGAAATAACATGATCTTTAGGCCTTTTAAAAGTCCCTTCTAGAATTCAGTCATTAAAGTCATTGGCATTACAGAATCTAGACTGTCTCCTCCGAAGTATGCCAAAATGTGTTACCTGTGCTCCAATTTCAGGAGAAAAAGACAAATTATGAGAAGACAAATGTGTAGTGGAAATTTTTAATACAGTTTTTAATAAACTTCCTTGTTGTGTCCAGTAATAATTTGCATTCAGCCCATTTTCTTATGTAGCTATAGTTATGTGCAGTGATCAGTATTATGTCCAGTAGTGATTAAGCAATCTAAAACCAGATGAGTTTGTTACTTTATGATACAGGGGCTTTGTAATTTTCTTTTGAATATCCCAAAAGAAAGATCTCTTTTAGATTCTTCTAGGCCCACTTAAGAATAGAGGCCTAATGATATGCATTTAGGATAGTTTGCAGCCTGACAAGAAAGAAAGAATTCCTAATTCAGTTTTAAATTTCAGTTAATCTGCTATTTTTGAGGTAGAATTGTATTTCTCAGCAGATAAAAAAATTGAACGTGAACAAGACAGTAAAGACCAGTCTGAAGTCAGATGGTATCAGAAATGAATCAGATTAAGAAATGTCACTGTCAAAATTATATTTTAACATTATTAACTATTGTAAATGATTAGATTAAATTGTATGTACTATGTATGTTTGTTTAAAATGTTCTTAAACATACCTTCTTTGTAGATTATGTACCTTAGAGGCAAATTACAAAATATCCTTTGATTAAGAAGTTCAGGTAATTGATAGTTTTATACCTTTTTAGTTCTGGAATTATCGATTCCATCTGCTTTGTGCTACTGTCAAAAGTATACAGTGTAAGGACTCTTACCCAGTGTGATCAGGAATGGCACGTGCTTCATTAATCAGGAGCCAAAGTATGGAGTCATAAATTTGTATATAAATATCTTAAATATTTTAACTTAAAATATACTCACATATATTCATTTGTGAATTTTTTAATGAAAGGCTGAGCCTCCCCCCCCTTTATTTCTAAACATGCATCTCTGATTAGCTTCCTTGTTGACTGTTTTGCATAAAATACACCCATAAATCTTTTTTTTGGTAATTTTTAGTTTCATTTTTTAAAACAGAGTAAGAAAATTAAAACTCTTGCAAAGCAATATGAATTAGAGCCCATCTTTTTTCTATGATTTTTTCCTCAGTGTTTTATAACTGTTTCACCTACACAAAGTTTGACAGCAGTTTTTTGACTTAACAGCAGTTTTTTTAGTAACTCGTTTTCATGGAGTCTTTCTAGAGCATTTAACTTAGTTTACATGGAAATTACAGTTCTCTTTCCTATGTATATCTTACTAGTTTTCTTTGTATTTTATTAATTTACATAATTAAAATAACAAGTACAACTAACAAACAGTCTGGGGTGGGGGAAACACAGTTGACTCTTGGTAAGTTTAAAACTAAACTGATGGGAACAGAAGTACACTGAAGAAACAGAAATTGGAGAATAACCTACGAAGCATGAGCATTTAGTGTGCCTTGGGCGTCAGTGTGCTTTACGGAGGTGATGGAAAGTGTCACTCATGCTCTGATTTGGAAACACTGAAGTCAGTTAAGAAAGCTTCTATTGTCTCCCAAAATCTGCCAAGATGACAAAATGCATTAGAGGTCATTTTGCTCTAAAGGGGCGATCTTCATAGGATATATTGCCTTAGAAATATAGTAAATTTACTGAAGATTTTAATAGCTTCCAGAATTTTTAAAGAAATATTTTCATTATTGAATGAAAGCATTATAAATTGTGTTAGCTGTATGGCTTAGGATTTTGATTTATAGTAACTTTTCCCATCGTTTGATATATATATATACTTTTTTTATTTGTTTAAATATGTGTTGTTCCATGTTATACTTTATTTTACAGTGGTACAGAAAAAAAGAAAGAAAAACCACAAGGACAGAGAGAAAAAAAAGAGGAATCTCACTCTAATGATCAAAGTCCACAAATTCGAGCATCACCTTCTCCCCAGCCCTCTTCACAGCCTCTCCAAATACACAGACAAACTCAAGAAAGCAAGAATTCTACTCCCACCAAAAGGTTTTAACTGACCCCAAGTACAGAGCTAGGGAATGGTTGTAATGATACCTGAATTCTGTGACTTGAGAAAAAGTTAACTATCCATGGATTTCAAGAGAAAAAGCCTGGTGGTTCCCCTCCCCTTTCTCTGTTGCTGTAATTTGTATTTTACCAAATTGGAGAAGGAAAATTTGTCAAAATTTCTCAGTTAAAAATGGATAGAAAAATAAAGTTATAAGCAGTCTGATGAAAGGAAGGCAAAAGTAACCTATTCAAAATAATATTTTATAGTAATAGTGTATTTTAACATGTGCATATAACTATGCATAAATTTATAGCCGTGGATAGAAAACTGCCATATGTAATTATCCTCACCATATTTTGGCATCATTACAACCTTCAGTTTTGCAAGGGCCCTTCTCAACACATGGCTCTTCATTGTGACTGCATCTCAGTTTCAGTTTTGGGTTTTGGGAGGATAAGTTCTTGCTTGAGTAGAGAATTGAATCCACTTCACCTAATCTTTTCTATGCTACAGGCTTGCTTGAGGGCTTCTCTCTGTGTCTATAATAATTAATATTTTAAAGTTATGAGAGGGGGAGAAGGGAGAAACATTCTAACAATGTGTGTGAGCCTAAATTGGGGATCTAAACCTGCATGCTGGGAGTTCAACACCACAGCTGCGTTGTAATCAAATATTTAGACCAACTTAATGAAATTTGCCTGCATTACAGATGTTGACTCAAGCTTTATGGTTAGGTATAGGTATATTTTATCATCACACTTCTGCTTTGAAATCTTAGGAAAATACTAAACCATTCCCAGAACTGGCTAGAATTTTAATAAAAATAAGTGACAATCGTCCCTAAAAGAGTTATAATGTATTTTTATTTGATTCATTTAGTATTTTGCCTCAAATCTCTAATGGAAATTTGGAAAAACAAAGCACCCTTCACTTGATAGATGCATGTTTAACATTTTTAAAATGCTTTGTGTGTCTCATGCAGATTCTTATGCTATCTAAACGGTTTGTAATTCTTCTGCCTGGTCTCATGTGGAGGTTTTCTTGAATACAGCTTATTAATATTATGTAACTTTGGATTGTGTGTGGTTAAAGGTGGCTTTTTTAATAATCAGTCTCTTTAAGGTTCTGAGTTGCCTTGGCATCTTTGTCCGGATCTTTTTTTCAGCTTCTTAAGGTCTCCTGGAAATGTGCTTGCCATTCTAAATTGCTCTTTGGATGTACTATTACAAGAAATATTGAAGACTGGATGAGTTGTAGGATAGTTAGCAGTGCAGCCAAAAAAATTGCTTATTAATAAAAAATTTTAAGTTACAAATATATGGAATCAGTATTGATAATAGAGCTTTCTTTTGTTAAATCCTGTTTATTTCTAATCGTGTGTAAAATTGCTTCTAAATGATAGAAGCAAGATTCTTACTTTTAGTCCTACCATTTATTTAGAAATTGCCATTTGAACCACATATAATTTAATTACATGAGGACATAAAAAATGAAAATAGTCTTGTAATGACTTTGAAAGAGTACAGTTTTTTCCCAAATTCACACAAATTTTACAAATTATGAGAGCTATTAATTACTCATATTTAAGCAAATCTGGGTTTTTTTTTTTAATCAGGTGCAAAATATTTTTTCTAGTGAATCTTCTGAATAATAGTGAAAATTTTAAAACAGACTTGGTAATTGCCTTGTTTAACTCCTTCACTCATCCAGGGACAGAACCTCTCAACTAATCCTTTCTTCTCTTTTCTGGATTAGCTGTAAGAAAATGTTAATTACTGCTTTTATGTTCTATTTAAACTGTCAATTACATGTCATTGCTACTCATAGAATTTTTCTCTAAGAAATTAATATATTTCTTTCAGCATTAAACGACCACCAACAGCTGAAAAGTCACATAATTCATGGGAAAATTCAGATGATAGCCGTAATAAATTATTGAGGGCAGTTTCAACATCAAAATTAATATCAAAAGTTATAAAAAATACAGACAAGTAAGTATTATACTTCTCAATTTCATATAAAAGTTATTAATTCTGTGATGTCATGTTTGCATGTAGAATTATATACCTGGTTTGATCATTTTAAAAAAATCTGTATTATGATTTATATCTTTTTCCTTTTTTCTTTTTTTTGGGGGGGTCGGTAATCAGATTGATTTATTTAGTGGAGGTTCTTCTGGTAATTATAATGGTCAGCCAAATAAAATTATAAAATAAATATCTTTGAATTCCTTTTGTAGGCATAAAGATGTCATCATCAACCAAGGTAAATTAAAAATCCTTTTTAAAAACTACTTACTGCTTTTCCACATCAGTTAAATTTTTGCTATTGATAAGAATATTGACTTATTTTCATTCAGTATACTTTATTTATTAGCTCACTTTATTTATAGTCATTAAAGAAAATACCCAGTTTTTATTGTAAGACATGTCATTTTTATCTCAACCAGCAAAAATGTCAACCCGTGAAAAAAACAGCCAAGGTAAGAATAAGCTACGCAGTTGGTCGCCTTCTAAGTTAATTTCTTCCTGGATCTCTTATTTGGCTTTTCATTATTTATATACCTGGCTTTCCTCTTACTAAAAGAAATACAGTAATTTGAACTAGTGAATCTAACCACTTTTCTAAAAATTCATCTTATTTCCATGATCTCTAAAGAGTCAAGGTTAACAGTACAAATAATTATATCATTACAAAGAGATAAAATACTAAGGGGAATTCCCCCCCCCCCTTTTTTTTATGAAAATAGAAGTTGTACTTAGAAAAGCCATTTAAAAGATTGGTAAATTTTAACTCAGTTTCCTGTCTTGCCAACTTCATTGCAAATAATCACTCATTTCTTGAAGCTAAGACTTAAAAAATATGAGTCTAGCAAACCCATTTCCTCTTAAATTTTTCTTTTATATTAATTGTAATTTCTGGCTACTTGCTGTTGTTGGCTTGTTCTGACCCAAAAAAGATCAGACTTTCTGTAAATGTGTATTTCATTTAATTGCAAAGTAGGTAAGATTTATACATCAGTTTTACATTCTCCTTCGATTGCCTGCAAGTTTAATTGAAGCATGCTCTTCTAAATGAAAGCATGTCTTTTCTGTGCATGCTTTTTACAGCTCATTTCTATATGTCCTAGTTATCTTTATTTTCTGGGCTATTTATTATATTAACCATATACAGTGTAGTTAAAATTTTTGTTAGAGATTCAATTTGATTTCTGTAGTTTTTGATTCTAATAAGAAAAATATTTGCAATCTTCTTTGGATCATTTGTTTTTTCATAGAAATTCTAAATAAAGTTGGTTTTTGCTGCTGTTCTCCTTTAGTTAGGTCTTACTTTGTCCCTCCTTTATAATTAAGTATAGATTAAGTAATGGTTGAAATACCTTAAGAAAAAAATGAAATTTTATTTACAAAGACAATTCTTATTATATGTATTAAAGCTATTTTTTTTTTTAAATAGAGGTAGTGATATAGAGTGGAAAGAGCAGTGAGTGTGGAGTCTCTATGTTTAGTGTTTGGCTCTTTTGTAGAACACGCTGTGACCCAGGCAAAATGGCAGTGTCTCTGGGCAGTTTTCGAATCTGAGAAGAATAACTATAAAGTTTACTTCACAAGACTGCTGAAGGATAAAATAACCTGCATGAAAGAACTTTAAAAACAGAAAACACTGTAACTATAGAAAGGTGCTGCTGTTATTACATGTTTTGCTAGACAGCTCAAATTTTATAAAATCCTTATAGAGTGAATGAGAAAAGGCTACCTCCCTCTTTGTCATGCTGTGATATGTTCTTTGGAAGGAAAAGGGAACTTGTGATTAGTATATAATAAGTGAGTGATTTGTGTTGGTGACAGTTTTCAAAACCACTGAAGTAAGCAGGTAAGTAAATATTTAAAAGGGAAGGGTTTTGCTAGAGAAGTCACTAAAGCGGGGAAGAAGGATGGAATGAAAAACTGGAAAAGGATATAGAAAAAATAAGTTAAATTCTGTTACAAGAATTTTTAACTGAAAAAGTTTGTCCCAGATGTTGGAATTTAGCAGTGTCAAATGTTGCTTGCATTAAGCTTTAATTTTGGAATATGAGTCTGTTCCTTTGCCATTTTAATCAGCTATGTATATCGTTAGACTGTACCTTGAAGGAGATCTCTTGTGCCTTGTCCTGTTATGTAATTCAGGCCTGACTGAAATTGGAGCAGAGCCTATGGAAAGAAGTAGATGGATTCTAGATGGTTTAGGAGATTACAGGTAGGGTATGAGAGGTAAGGAACAGAAGGAATCTGTGAAAGCCAGCCTGAGACTTCGTAAGAGGCATCAACTAAAAGTAAGGAACATTTGAGGAGGAGTAGATGTATGGAAAGAATAGAGTTTGGTTTTGGACATTTATACTTGAGTGTATAAGACTTAATTTACTTGTAAAGATGTGTAGCAACCTCTACATGTAGATGTTTAAACACGTATTTTGGAGTCCAGAGACTGGTTTCACCATTTACTTAGCCTGTGACCTCAAGCAGGTTAATTCACCTTCTTAAGTCTTTGTTTTCTCATCTATAATGGAGATAATAATAAGCACTCAAAGGGTGATTATAAAAATTAAAGGTAATAAAACATTTAAACTAATACCTGGCACACAGTACAAATAAATTTTATTACTGTATATGAGTGTGACAGTAAAACCTTGCACTCAAATGTGTAGAGTTAAGATGAAAAGATGACCATTAAATAGATGATCTTTACTTGGTATAAGTTGTAGATATATTTTAAGTTTGATACTCATTTTGCATAGCATATTCACAGCACATTTTCTTACACTTCAGGTATTTATTGATCCAAAAACTCTGTCATTTTTGGACAGTCTTTTAAAAATACAATTTTTTAATTTCTTTAGCTGTTTTTTGACAGTGACAAGTGTGACTTGCTCTAAGCCATCTGCTTTGTTTTGAGAACAAGCCTGTTTATGTTTGATACATATAGGTGAGTGGTATAAGAGAGAACTACCTGAAAGGCCTGTGTATGTCAGGCTCAGAAGAGCAGTAAAGCTGCACATCTAGTCAGCACTTAGACAGTAGGAAGGAAACCATGGTTGAAATGGGATGTTCACAGGGCAGTCTCAGAGCCTTGGTGTGAGAGGAGGGACAGGTTACTCCACTAAAAAGAGGCTCCTACTGACTTAGATCCGTATCTACCCTCATACCCTCAAGTCCCTGAAGCTTAAGCCCCTTTTCATTCCTCTTCTGTTCTGTTGAATTCTCTCCCGTTGCAAGAGAAATAAGACTTGGCCTGTCAAAGTTAAACTGTGAATAATTTTTTCTGTAGAACTATTTATTGTTAGATGTAGCATTTAGGTTCTAGTACAGTACTATTCATTTGAGAAGCTATTGATAAAGTTCTTTGAGCTAAGTTGGGGAACTGTAATCACCTTTTATAATAAATTACCTTTGGGGGAATATAGATAACTGACAAATTTTGTAATAAACAAAATGAGTACAGACTATAAGCTCATTCTTACAATAGTTACCGAGTATATTACATTTTTAAAATATGGAAAATAAGTGTCACGTGTCCTCATTTCTAGAGGAGAACCCAAAGGTCCTCAAATTATTGGATATTAACTTTTTTTCAGGCTTAAATAATGTCTCTTTTTGCTTGTAGTATCTTAAACTCTTGATATTTAGAATTAGCACATAATTCATTGTTTGGTCATGTTGAGAACCTGAATGAGAAAAATTTGCTTAATTGAGGAAAAGAACTCATCAATCACCAAATCACACTCTTACTTCCTTTTATAAAGCTGCCTCACTGCTCTGTGATTAAATTCATTCTTGCTTAACCACCAGACCAGCGCAATGATAGCTTAACTACAGGTATATTTAGATGGAAGAACAGTTACTATAATATCTTTCAAAATTAAGAATTGACAATTTCTTACTAGCTACCTAGCTACCTGTCTAAAATGGCTTCAGATGAAAAATACTTTAAAAGTCATTTTGAAATACTATCAAAAATCCTTTGGTAATTTGTTGTAGCCAGTTATTCATATAATCTAAAAATACACAATATAAACTCATTTACAAAACTGGAGAAAGGAAAACAAAGACCTCTAAGTAATCGTGTCATTTTCACAGCTGTTACAGTTCTGATGTTTCTTTATTCTTTGTCAGATACACATTTTAAACGTTTATTCATTTAACAAATATTTACTGAGTGTATTTTGTCAGGATCTGTCTCAGGCACTTGGAGATACAGTGATTACATTGTCTGAACTCTGTGGAACTTATGTTCTCCCTAAAAGAAAAAGATAATAAGTACTTAATATGTCAGGACATAATATACGTTGGGAAAGAATGAGGAGAGAGAATGGCTGTTTTATATAGAGTGGTTAGGGAAGACATTTCTCATAAAGTGACATTTGAGCCACCTGAAGGAAGTGAGTGAACAATGTGGGGATCTGGAGAGAGAATTTCCTGAGCAGAGAAACCTGGAAGTACATGAGCCCTGAGGCAAGAGCTTTCTTGCTGTGTTAAGGAGCAACAAGAAGGTCACTGATTGTAGTGTGCATACAGTTTTGTATTTGTTAACCATTGCATTTATGGTTAACAATTGCAATTATAGATTCATTCTAAGCAACAGAAGCTTCATTAGTCACTGCAGTTAGGAAAGGGAAGCAGAGTTGTTTAGTGGGAAGAGGGTAAGAATTATAAGCCTGAGACCTAGTTAGGGATGAAATGACCTGAATCACAGAAGTTTGAAGAATCAGAATCCTACAATGACTAAAATTATGAATGTAGGTTGGAGTGAAACTCAAATTTTCATTTGCCAAAAGAAATTATGAAAAAAATGAAGCATTCTTCATCTAGTAATAATTTTTCCTCTGTGACTGAGACCCCAGACCTTAGTTCCCTCACATATACTTAGGGTTAGACTAGACGTCACAAAAGGTGATGTCTTTAATAATTTTTGAAAGCTTTTTTTCTTGCAGCAAATAGAAAATGGAGGACAGCCGCCCCCCACCACCCCCCTTCGCCCCGAACCTTCACTAACTCACGTTTAATCTACCTGTTGAAGAGTTTGAATGCAGATGCTTTTGTTCAGTGCCAGTGCCTTGTGTTGCTTTCTGACCTGTTGGCTCCAGGCCTAGGCTATCCAAAAACCAGATCACACCTGTGTAAACTAAGAATTGTATCTGAAAGAATAGCTAAAATTTACCTGTAAAGTGTATAGGATAGCAGTGTCCTACTGCTATTGTGTTACCTACTGAGCGGGAATATACTGTC